AAGAGAGAGAGCGCTAAGAGAAACGAGAGAGAGGAGCAGCAGACGCAGGGGGATTGCAGGACCTTTTTTTTTTTAACTGCCTTAACAAAAAAGGGACACCTTTTAAATTATCTCCTTAAATCTCTCCATCTTTCCATGATTATGAGAAACTAACAAGTGAATGAATACAGCTCTCCTTCATCTAAGATGATTTGGTAAATATATTAAAAATAAGAATAGAATAAATAAATGAACAATTTAGTACGATCTATCCTAAAACCAACCGCGGCAAAGAATGAACCTGTAATCAGCCCTCAATGGACAACAAAGCCACTGTCTTCCACCTTTTTTTTTATTATTTCACTACGACCTTTCCACAGTCACAAAAACTAACTTTCATCCAGCACGTATCACTGGGTTAAAAAAGAAGAAGAAGAAAAAAAAATCTCCACACTATTATTTCATCAATATCAGAAAAAATATTAATCTCCAATAATTTTCATACAGCATATGATTTACATTTTTTCTAGTTTGCTCATCATAATAGGTAATGCACTTGATCTTGATAATGTTTCCGTTACGAGGAAACATCATCTTTTTTTTACACCGTTTAAAAGTTGGAAACCACTACATCTCAATCTTAATCTCAGTCAGTCAGTCAATCATTCTATCAATCAAATACTCTCTCTTCACTTATTCATCCAAACACAATAAATATCTTAAAACTCCCTATAATGGTAACCTGTCAATATGGCCTATCAACCTTGCTTTCACTTTGTAACAAAAACAAGGAATAATAATAATAATAATAATAAACAATAATGAATATAAAAATGATACTGACTAGCAAAAGCACATGAAGCTTCACCGAATGCAATGAAAACACAACAAACCACTATTCAACTTTGCCCTTCATTAAAGCATCAAAATCAACCACAGAATTCCTTTCCAAAAAACCTCCTTCCAAAGCCTCCCCTTCTAATACTTCTTCCCTGAAACCTCCCCTGATGCTCTATTCCAGACTTCCAGAAACCTTCCTTTCAACACCTCTTTCCTGAAACCTCTTCCCCGACTTACCTCAAACTGCCAGTGAGCTGACTGTAACAACTGTCTCGCCTGTTCTCTCGTGGCCCCTGCAGCCATTACAAACTGGTTTATCATGACCTGGAAAGGGAAGACGGGGAGGGAATGAATTTCTTTCAGCTCAGCAACAGGAGTGGCATGTGTGACGGGAACAGTGTAATGATATTGTGGTTTGAGATGAGCGGTGTAGTGACATGATTGGTGTAGAGAAGTAACGTTTCCAAACTTGAAGTGTGTGGTCCTATGAATGGCATAGTGACGAGCAGTACAGCAACCAATGTGAAAACGTAACATGAGAAGTGGTGCAGTGGCAAAGAGTATAGCAACATGAGTGATAAAGTAAGGAATAGTAAAGTAGTATAGAGAGGAGTGGCAGGGTAACATGTAGTACATTTCCTGATTGGGAAACATTCTCTATGAGATGCATTAGTTCATATCAAAATAAATATTATTACTAGTACTAGACAAAACAATAAATAAGAATCTATTCCCTTATCAGCACATTACAAAAGAAGAAAGACTTTTTTCTTCATAACAATGAGAATTATAATACCAATGATGCAAAGAAATACCGAAGCATATACACACACACATATTGAGAAAATATACTTAAACATATGTAACAAATTAGTCGCAATAAAAAAAAAAAAACATGATCAAACCTATTATACACTATACAAAATGAGCACTCTACCCCACTGCCCTTTTCACATGGATAGAGAAAAAGAAGTAGAATTTTGGAAGCCTCAAGAATGAAACTGATCAACTTTCCTGTTCAATGAAGGCACCTAACAGGCAAGATAAAAATAGATGACAGACAAGAGATAAGAAACAAAGAGAGAGAGAGAGAGAGAGAGAGAGAGAGAGAGAGAGAGGAGAGAGAGAGAGAGAGAGAGAGAGAGAGAGAGAGAGAGAGAGAGAGAGAGAGAGAAGAGAAGAAGAAAGAAAGAAAAGAAAGAGAAAGAGAGAGAAGAGAGAGAGAGAGAGAGAGAGAGAGAGAAGAGAGAGAGAGAGAAGAGAGAGAGAGAGAGAGAGAAGAGAGAGAGAGAGAGAGAGGGAGAGAGAGAGAGAGGAGAGAGAGAGAGGAGAGGAGAGGAGAGGAGAGGAGAGAGAGAGGAGAGGAGAGGAGAGAGAGAGAGAGAGAGGAGAGAGAGGAGAGAGAGAGAGTGAGAGAGAGAGAGATGAGAGAGAGAGAGGAGAGAGAGAGAGAGGAGAGAGAGAGGAGAGATGAGAGAGGAGAGGAGAGGAGAGATGAGAGAGGAGAGGAGAGGAGAGGAGAGGAGGAGAGGAGAGAGAGAGAGGGAGAGGAGAGGAGAGAGAGAGAGAGAGGAGAGGAGAGGAGAGATGAGAGAGGAGAGGAGAGGAGAGATGAGAGAGGAGAGGAGAGAGGAGAGAGAGAGGAGAGAGAGAGGAGGAGAAGAGAGAGGAGAGGAGAGGAGAGATGAGAGAGGAGAGGAGATGAGAGAGGAGAGAGCGAGAGAGAGAGACAGGAGAAAGAGACAGAGAGACAGACAGAGAGAAGAGGAGAGGAGGAAGAGGAGGAGGAGGAGGAGGAGGAGGAGGAGAGATGGAAGAGGGAAGCAGAAGAGGAGATGAAAGAAGAGGAAGAAGAGGAGAAGGAGAGATAAAAGATTAAAGAGATGAAGAGGGGGAGGAGATAAAAGAGGGAGAGGAGAAGAAGGAGGAGGAGGAGAAGAAGGAGGAGGAGGAGAAGAGGAGGAGGAGGAGGAGGAGGAGGAGGAGGAGGAGAGGAGAGAGGAGAGGAACAGATGATGGCTAATGGTTAAAACAAATAAATTAGCCGGACATCAAGGTCATTTAGCACAATGGTAAAGTATAGTGACAAAAAGGGTTGGAATGAGCAAATGATTTGAGGTTGAATGGTACTAGAAAGCAGTAAGGTAGCAAGAAGGGGTAGAATAGAGGGCAATGATGGGGTACAGTATAAGGTAAAGATTGTTAAAAGAGGGAAGGAGTTTAGGGAGTAGGGCAATTAGGAGGAGGAGGAGTTGGCAACAGTAGTGTCAACAAAGTAGGGGGAGGGGGAGGAGAGGAGGAGGAGGAGAGGAGGAGGAGGAGGAGGAGGAGGAGGAAGAAGAGGAGGGGAAGGAGAGGCTGGAGAGAGGAGGAGGAGGAGGAGGGAGGAGGAGGAGGAGGAGGAGGAGGAGTGAGGAGGAGGAGGAGGAGGAGGAGGAGGAGGAGGAGGGAGAGGAGGAGGGAGTAGAGGAGGAGGAGGAAGTAGAGGAGGAGGAAGTACCTTGGAAAACTATTTAATCAAAGGTTTAAGGTCACACAAACCAGTAACAGAACAAAGCGGCCATACAAGCACTATAGCACCTTCCAAGTCATGGCCCACCACCCGCCCTTGCCCATATTAAAACGCAGAAACTTTCTAATGCCCTCAGTCAGGTATAGGCACAGGCCGCAGCATGAAAATGTGTTACCATCGACTATACCATTTAGTACTGGATCCTATATGCAAGCGTTAGCCTTACGTAGCCCCTGTGTCTGGTATCTGGGCAACATGCAAGGGAAACGTGCAATCAAACGAGGAAGACTTCTTGCACACGAAGAGGAACAACTCGTGTACAATGTTGCAATCAAGTGTCTTGTTTCCAAAAATCAGTTTGACAAGTTTCCATTCTGTCTTACTTTTGTGACATTAGCAGCAAAGTTTTGCAATATCTCGACCTATTTTCCAAGCATGTTTTTTTTTTTTATATATGAAAGGAGGAGAGGAAGGAATGGGAGAATTATTGATAACAACAATAACAATAATAATAATAATAATAATAATAATAATAATAATAATAATAATAATAAAAAAATAACAATAACAATAACTATGAAAATAATAATAGCAATAATAATAACTATAATAGTAATATCATTAATGATAACTGCAAAAATACAACAATAACAACACCACCACAACAGTAACAAAAATTGTCCAACAATTACAATAATAACAACAACAACAATAATAATAGTGGCAACAGTCATAACTACTAATACTAATAATAATAATAACAATAATAATAATAATAATTATCATTATCATTTCTTATAATCATGATGATAATGATAAAGATAACAACAACAACAACAATAATAATAATAACACTTATAACAATATCTTAAAATAATAATAATATTAATAACAATTATAGCATAAAAAAAAAATAATAATAATAATCAGCATAGGCCTGATAATGTTAAAAAATAATAATAATAATAATAATAACAATAATAATATTGATAATAATAATAACAACAACAATAATGATAATTAAATAATAATGAAAATAACTGTCAACAATAAAATAATAATAATAATAATAATAATAATAATAATAATAATAATAATAATAATAATAATAAAAATAATAATAACTATAACAATAATAATAATAATAATAATAATAATAATAATAATGATGATAATAACTACAATAATAACAGTAACTATAACAATATATAACATATTATAACAATAACAATAACAATAACAACAACAATGATGATGATGATGATGATAATAATAATCATTATAATGACAATAATGTTAATGATGATGATGATACAATAATAACAACAATAATAATGATAATAATAATAATTATAATAATAATAACACAACAATAACAATAGCCATAAATACCAAATAAAAAACATATTGTCATCGATAAAATAAAATCAGCTGCAATAAAAATAAATAAAAACAGTACTAGCAATATCATCAGAAAAGCTAATAATAACAGTAACAATAGGATATGATATCAACATGAGAAACTATACCGACAATAATGATAGAGTAATAACAATAACAACAACAATAATGGCGGCATTCACCATCAAGATAATGCCTATCATTATCATCAACCCTAATATCTTTCCAATACTATCAATTTTATCACCATGACTAAACCAGTGAGAATATCATCATCAATATCAATAAAACAATAATTAATCATAACAATAACAGCAACAATAATAACAACAATCATAATAATCTAATCATAACTATAATCTTAATAATTTTAATAATAATGATAATAACAACATAATGATGATGATGATAACTATCAATAACACCAATAATCATGATTATAATATCAATATTGATAACATTAATAATATCAATAATCATACATAAAGTCTAACTGTAATAACATCAACAACGCTATCAATAATGATAAATGATAATGATAATAATCATGGTGATGGTAATAATAACAACAATAACAATAATAATAATAATAATAATAATAATAATAATAACAAATGTAATAATGATAATGATAATAATAGTGATAACTAGAACTAGAGAGTGCATACCTCCGCCAAGGCAATAGGGTCACTGATGCAATAAAGATATTCACACTTGAAGAATTACAATAAAATCACCTCTTTCTCAAGTATACTGGTGACATCGATAAACATAACCTCATTGACGGAAGTAATAAAGGTAATGATAATAATAATAGTTACCCCTATTACAAAGACAGAAGGGTAACTGATGCAATCATTTTAAAAATTCCTGGACAGAAATCTTGATCTGGAACTCCACCACCAATAATAATAATAATGATGATGATGATGATGATGATGATGATGATGATGATGATATGATGATGATGATGATGAAGATGATGAAGATGAAGATGAAGATGAAGATGAAGATGAAGATGAAGATGAAGATGAAGATGAAGATGAAGATGAAGATGAAGATGATGATGATGATTATGATGATGATGATAACATTTACAATCAAAACAATTGTGAGAGCAAAGCAAAGACACAAGAAGATGCTACTGACTCTTGACTTCTGACAAGTCTATTGGGGGCAAATAGTTGAAAGGCGATAAAAATGAGGTAACATGGGTAATTTTTACCCCTATTTAAGTACTGATGACTTTCAAGGAGGGCTAGATGGGAATGAAAAACCTCCAGAGACAGGTAAAGTTTAAGTGAGCGGCTGCACCTGGTAGGTGAGTATGTTTGCCCCATCTGATGTTCAATTGAAAAAAAATTCAATTCTTATAAAGAATATAAATTTTGCTGTTTCATTCTATAATCTATTTACTGTCCATGTTCTAGAGCATTGGTAAGGTACACTAGGTTGCACACTCTGATAAGGTCAGGTTTCACTGACATCTTCGGATTCTCAATCAGTAAGGAATGAGGTGGTAAGTGTTGTGTATTGCTTTCACTCTTTGTGATATATCCTTTTTTTATATATATACTACTTACATGGTTTCAGTTACACAGGCCTTATGTAGTGTGCTCTACAAGTGCTTTGTATAAAGCACATCCATAATACAATTTGATAGGAACTTCAAAAAGGGCTTATTTTTTTTACGATGTATTAGTCTACCATGACAAGAAGACTGAAGGTTAAACATGATTACAATTGGGATATATTCATAGATAGGAACTACTGTTGTCTAATGTACGTCATTAAACTAAACCATCACAAAAGAGTTACTAAAGACTGTTTTTCTTTTATGAGACCACAACCACTGGTCACTTGACCAATGACTATCTTCAATCAGTGCATTACTGTCTTTCCTTGAAGTTACAATCAAATAATTATGCAATTTAAAAATGTAAATTATTCTACAAGTATCTAACTAAAAGATACATAAGCTGCAACCTGTTACCTTGCTGATTACCAACAAATACAAATGCCCCACAATAATATACACAATATACAACCAATTAAGTAAAATTCAAGAATCACATCCCTATAAATTGGCACAAGATACAACTGACATATGACATTACAAAATGACATACTGACAAGTTTTATCTGATACACCTTCATTCACAAGAACTGAAATAGCCTGAGAAGGATATGCTGTTATCTCATGATCTGGACTGCAGCTACTATTCTCACACAACCCAATGCAAAAGATTACAACTGGCTATCTAAATTCATTGATACAAAGAAACACAACTGAGCTAACTTTAAGACCATACTTAAAGATCTCTCTTAACTTAATGACAAGAACACATTTCAATCCCATGTTTAACAGAAAACTGTAAAAGTGGAAATACCTTTACTTATGGAAAGGATATCAATAGGGTGAACATTACCTTGGGTGAGGTTAAGGCTACTAAACAGTACTGCTTTTGTACAATACAAAGGCGAGAGAGAACAGAATCAAACATTACACACATCAGACCCAATCTTGGTATTTTCTGCTAGCGACTTTCTCCATAGACCACTTAAAAGTTGTAAATCCTTAACAATCAATTTACGACATGTATCAAAAGTATTCTAAAATAACCTGATCTACTGAATGATGTAATTTGAATAAATGCTTACTAGATAGCATGAAGACAGGGAAAGCCTGAGATAATGTACAAGGACACTCTTACACATTTAATACAACCAGCAAAAAGGAGGGAATCTACTCATGGGTCCCCAAGTCGTACAATCCAATAGCCTCCACACGTCATGCTCCAGCAAAGGCAAACAACCTTCAAGTGTACCGGTACATTCCGGGGAGGTAGAACCTGTCAGCTTCCATGGTGATTCATCATCAAATGAGGAAACAGTTAGAGCTCCATCTCTCGAAGTATATGTGGCCTGGTTTATTGGTCTTTGCCAGAGCAGGAATCATGGAGGGTATATCACTTATGCCAGTCGAATTCTGGACAATCACCCAAATCTATTTCTTAAAATTCCACATCATTAGTAAATTAGTCATTTAGCTTCTCACAAATAGATGATAAAAAATCAAAGATCAGATCAGATTGACAAGCATGAAAAACTGTCCTAAAACAACCAGAAGTGACTACAACATTTGTTCCAAGAAAAATTACCAACAGATAGAAGAACTCCATGACATATGAATCAACAGTGCTTTCCAACAACAAAAATTAAAAATATAAAATTTGCTTAGTAATCCTTTTGCAATGGGTGACGTCCTTTCCCATTAAGGCCAATGACCACATACACTAAGTGATGCCGTGTTTGTCACGAGTCCATGTCCCGATTGGGATGAGGTTATGTACCCAACTGCATGCAGAGCAGCAAGAACTAATATATGCCATACTTATTAGATTTCGCTGAAAACATAACCCTTTGCTTTTGGTTTAAATACCACATAAAAATAATAAAATCTTTTGTTAAAGTTACCATAACATCTGCAGTGACTTGAGCAATCACTGTGATCTACGTGACTTATGCATTCAACACAAGATAAAACTTCCAAAATACACATCTAGCAAAATAAAGCTTTGGCTGGTTCCATATTTCACAACATAGTCCTGCTGAGATCTACAAACTTCAATAGCCAAAATACTACATATGACTGAAGTTGGATGACATTTGCCTGCAAATCAAGGACAATTTCATAGAGGAAAAATTACACTTATTGTTATTTTAATTAATCTGCACATAAAAACTGAAGAAAATTGCCAAAGGCAAATACTACACGGATAATAATCCCATGGTTGATCTTTGCTTGGCATAGCCCCAAGCAAAGGAAATCAGGCAATTGGGTAGAGGTTCAGGGGCTTCACCAACCATACAGATTAGGAAGGTTTTAGGTTCATATGCCTATGTTTGTGGATTCCCAGCAGTGCCCAAAAGTTTGTTGGCTGGAGACCTAGGCTCTGTCTCAGAGGGGTGCAGTCACTTTGTAAACAATTACCCAGCCTTTCTCTGAAATAGACATGCACTCCTTACTTGTTTATTTACATGGTACTTCAACTGATGACACACAGTAAACTTAATTTCTGCCTTTTTTCTCCAGATGTAAACAAAAACTTTGTGTTAATAAACAACCTTTCCCTCAGTATATACAGATGAATCTCATTCAGTTATTTCATCACAATACAGCCATATCCTTAATACAATACTTTTACTTATCGACATGTATATAAAAGACATCTAGGTAATATGACATATACTGCACTTCTGAGTATTTACAAGAGAGAAAAGAGACAAATCAAATGCAATTCAACTGAAATACAAGACATTTCTTGACGGGACAGTACATGAAACATAATATACAATGCCTGAATAGACATATCTATTTCATGCATGGATAATGACAAACCTGTTAGTGTAATTCACAAGATTAATTTGGATGACTGTCACAAAAATTTCTAGCCTTTACACATTATATCAACAGTGAAAATATAACATGACACTCATCTCCAGTTCATGGATGAGCTTCCAATATATCAATAATCCACATATCATTAATGCGAAAGCCTTTCTCCCCACCTACATATCACAAATATGTATAAACAAAAATCTATTTAAAGCTACAGCTGGCAACCGAATCACCAAGTATGAAAAATTAAATGGTCCAAAAAGTAAACACTAGAATGACCCACTGTGAGGAGAGCCAAGTGAAGGTTTAGTCTACAAACAACGGTGTAAGAAATGCCATGAAACGAATGCTAGCAAGCTTCTAACTTCACTGCTCTTACAGAACTATTTCTGAAAGTACGGTGACAAGGAAGAAAATAAATACAATACACTACACTACTACACACACACAAGAAAAACAAGACATAATCCTCATCTTCTATAAATAATTCTTACGATTATCACCTCGGAACAACACTAATTACATATACACCTGGACCCGCGGAAATGAACGTGCTAAACAGGCGCACATAAACACGAGCTTTCATCTTTAAAAAACTCCAGCTCCACTACTTGGGAATCCATCATTCATCGAATCCATGGAACAACACCGTAGCAATCAGACCCTTCCACCCTCAATCCTCCGCTCTATTTTCCACCCGATTCATTCCACCGGTCCGCAAACTTGGCTTGTGAAAGTCAATGTCAGTCTCAATCGAATCATCGTCTCATTAAAGGATGACTAGATTACCTGTTCACGTAATGCCGAATCCATTCTGGGATGGAATTAAATACACGACCTCCTCTCACCGCTTCATCGACCACACTGAGAATGTTTTCAAAATAATGTTCCAATAATGTGACGATCGGCGATATTTTGGTCGTGCTGCCAACTGCAACACGTCGTTCGATTTTATATTTCTTTAGATTGCCGTTGCCCATTAGAATTTTACTATACCCAACATACTTCAATAAGTATTTTGTTTATATTAAATACTTATGCACATTCAAAGTCATGCCTGGTACTGTAATTAAAAGAGCACGATAGTTGGCAGCCTTGACAGCATGGACTAAACGTCGACTGTAAACACGGAAAGTTGAAAATTAAGAATGGATTTTCTGCTTACTATTCGCATTCCAAAACAATTACTATGTCGTAGAGTTTACACAGTAATTTTTGTAGAGGCATCTTATCTTTCCAATGATGTATGTAGATATTTATGTGCGTTTAAAAGACTATGTTTTATTTCAATGATCATGTATATGTTTACATTTTTAGTTGTTTTCATATGAAAATGTCTTTCATTTATTTTCATCGTACAGTGCAGATAACTCGAGTATACATTAGCAATTCTCAATCAGTAACTTATGCAGGGTGAGATACCTCTGTAATAGAGACATGAACTTAAGATCAATGCCTTTTGAGAAATAAAAGATATCAACTACATGGAATCCCATCTGTAACTAGCAATAAAGAGACGATGCCGTATTATGAAATCAATATTTTATTTAATAAAAATGTCCGGAGTTAAGGTATCGAACTCCTTGCCATATTCACTCAGAGAACAAAATATACATATCACCTTTTTATCATTTTGGCCAAGAGAATATATTAAAAAGTACATGACAGATAGAGTACAGTTACATCCCCCCAAAGTGGTACATCAGTAGTTCATTTGTACCCATCAACAATACAATTAACAACTCTCGAGTGATAACCCTGGTATGCGGGGTTGCTGCCTTTTGTTTTGTAGATATGTTTATCCTAAAGTGTAATGTGCATCAAAACATTTTAATGGATTTTAAATTTAAATCTCTCTCTCTCTCTCTCTCTCTCTCTCTCTCTCTCTCTCTCTCTCTCTCTCTCTCTCTCTCTCTCTCTCTCTCTCTCTCTCTCTCTCTCTCTCTCTCTCTCTCTCTCTCTCTCTCTCTCTCCTCTCTCTCTCTCTCTCTCTCTATCTATCTATCTATCTATCTATCTTTCTTTCTCTCTCATTCTCTCGTTGTTTAATACCTGAAGCGATTCAACCGTGGGTCAAATTCATCGTGTCTAGTGTTATCGAAGTGAGTCACACATGACCTATTTCATTCCGAACATGCTCCACCTCCCAGCTGTAGCAGCCGCTGTAAGCTATCGATGGATCAAGACATCATTTGAGCACACATTACATTTTTTAAAACGATTAAGAGGTTAGAGCCACACTCCCTCTCTTTTTGTTGAATATATACCTGGAAGTTGTACACAGGCATGTTACAGACATATATTTGCATAGTGTACATTTTATATTAAACATATGCATACACATAGGATGTGTGTGTGTATTATGGTTATGAGATGACTGCCTTTATGCTTATGATTATTTTCATTATCATTCATATGTTATTTTGGTCATTGTTGCTGTTACTAGCATTATTATTATTATCATTATCATTAATATTGTCCTTATTATTATTATTATTACTCTTGTCATTATTATCATCAATGCTATTATTACCATTATCAGTATCATCATTGATGTTATTAATATGTAATCATTATGGTTGTTGTTTTGCTATTATCAGCAATATCATCATTATTGTTATCATTATCATTATTATCAATGTTATCATTCTTATGATTATGATCAATCATCATTGTATTATTTTTTTTATCATTATCATTATCATTATTATCACCATTATTGTTATTACTCTTATTATATTGTTATCGCTTTTATTGTGCGCGTACTTACTGTAATTCATTCAAGATTAACAAATTTGATAATGTCACTGGAACTAATCGTTAGGCCGTAGTACCGGTTTTTAGGATTAACATAATTATATATGTTAGTGTGTTGTCACATACCTGGCAAGAATGCCGGAAGAATGTAATAGAATTCTTCAGATTTTATCTAGTTAGGGATATCTGGTAAACATATAGAAAACGGATGTACCAACGTTTTCTTACAGTGTTGGTATGGGAGACTACTGTATATATTTCGGTTATTATTATTATTATCATTATTGCTATTATTATCATTATTATTGTTATTATTATTATTATTATTATCATTAATTGTTATTTATTATTATTATTATTATTATTATTATTATTATTATTATTATTATTATTATTATTATTATTATTATTATTATTATCATTATTATTTATTATCATTATCATTTATTATTATTATTATTATCATATTATTATTATTATTATTATTATTATTAGTTATTAGTAGTTATTATTATTTATTATATATTAGTTATTATTATTATTATTATTATTATTATTATTATTATTATTATTATTATTATTATTATTATTATTATTATTATTATTTATTATTATTTATTATTATTTATATTATTATTATTTTATTATATTATTATTATTTATTATTACATCATCATCATCATCATCATCGATTATTAGTAGTAGTAATGGTAGTAGTAGTAGCAATATCATTATTATCATTATCCTTGTCATTATTTTCCTACTTATCATTACTATTATTATCATTATTATATTGTTGTTCATATTATTATTATTATTGTTAATATTATCATTATTATTATTATTATTATTATATTAATGATCATTATTGTTTGTTGTTGTTGTCGTTATTAATATTATTATTAATGTTATCATTATCATTATTATTATGATTATGATTTTTATTGTCTTTATTTATTATTATTGTGATTATATTATTACTGTTATTGTCATTATTATCATTATCCTTATCATTTCATTATTGTTAATATAATTATAATTTTTTATCATTATTGTTTATTGTTATTGTTGTGTTATTGTTATCATTATTATTATCATTATTGTTATTATTATTATTATTATCGTTATTATTATCACCATTATTGTTATTATTATTATCATTATTATTATTATTATTATTATTATTATTTTTATTATCATTATTAACAATAATGTTATTATTACTACCCTTATCACTATCATTACTGTTAATATTATCATTATTATTATTGTTATCATTATTATTATCAGTGTTTATTAACCATTATCATTATCATCACTGTTATTATTTCATTATTAGTCATTGTTATTATTATTATCATTATCATCACTTTTATTATTATTATTATCATTATCATCACTGTTATTATTATATTATCATTATCATCACTTTTTATTATCATTATTATCATTATCATCACTGTTATTATTATTATTATCATTATCATCACTTTTATTATCATTATTATCATTATCATCGCTCTTATTATTATTATTATTATCATTATCATCACTGTTGTCATTATTATTATCATTATCATCACTGTTATTATTATTATATTACCATTATCATCATTATTATAATTATCATTATCATCACTGTTATTATTATTTTATATCATTATCATCACTGTTATTGTTATTATTATCATCATTATCATTGTGCGTGTGTGTTCGGATCTCTATGTGTAATGTTATTTCCAGTAAATAATTAATATTACAGCCTATGATATTAGAAAAAAAAAACGATATTCAGAGATTTGTAAGATAGTATTAAAAAAAGAAAAGGAGAAATTCTGGAATATTCGATAAGACGAGATAACTACCAGATCATTCTAGTTTCTTTTGAAGAGAAACGCGAGAAAATCAAGTCTCTATTGGCTATCTACAATCAATTATCTCGTTTTTTTTTTTGTAATAGATTATGCGATAAACACAAGAAAGAATGATATTGTGTCTAAGTATAGTATTCTGAAGATTTGATAGATCTCGGAAGCTATTTTTCATGTTAATTGTATTACTACTTATAGGTTTTACGCCCGTATACACACCCATGCAACATATGTGGATACATGCATGCACATATGTATACATATGTGCACACACAGAGATATGTATATATACATATATATATATATATATATATATATATATATATATATATATATATATGTGTGTGTGTGTGTGTGTGTGTGTGTGTGTGTGTGTGTGTGTGTGTGTGTGTGTGTGTAACATATATACATATACATAAATATAGACACATATATATATATATATACATAATATATATAAGTACAGTACATACATACACAACACACACACACACACACACACACACACACACACACACACACACACACACACATATATATATATATATATATATATATATATATATATATATATATATATATATATATATATATATATATCATACACACATTCAAAAACAATTAAAGATATATATTTATGTGTATATATACAGACACGTATAAATATATTCACACACACACACACACACACACACACACACACACACACACACACATATATATATATATATATATATATTATATATATATATATATAATATATACATATGTATATACACACATATACAATACACACACACACACACACACACACACACACACACACACACACACACACACACACACACACACACACACACACACACACACACACACACACACACACACACACACCCGCCCTGCAAGTGGATGGCAACCCCGGCCATTCCTTGCACACAGGGAGTAATTTAGAAGCAATCTAAACAGACAACCTGTCAACTCAAACATGATAACCACTGTGACAAATGTAGTTAATTAGTAATGATTAATGACAATAATTTATCATCATTACTATTATTGTTACTGTCATTATCATCACTTTTATTGTTGTTACAAATACTTTTCTCATTATCGTTGTTTTTTCATTGTTATCAAATTCACAATAATAATAATAAGATTAATTCAGTCATCATTGCTATTATTGACATTGTTATTATTGTTGCCATGATTATTTTTATCAATTTCATAATCATCATGAT